TTTGAGCTCTCAACACAAATACATACACTCACACACACACACACACACACACACACACTGTGGATTTTGTGAAATTTGTACCACTGGAATCCTAACACACAGTCAACTTTACACCCCCTGTATATTCTAGCACTCCCCAAGACCACAGACATGTTGGGGACAAGAGGGAGCCATGATTAGCATACAGATGAGGGTTTAAGGCCCTCCCCACTCCTTCAAGGAGGGAATGACAACAGACTTACCACCATTAGCGTTGCTCTGGCTATGACTATATTGTTCTTCTGATCTCATGGCCGTGACTGAGAGTCCAGGTGTTGTGTTGATCACCATAGGAACTTTGCTTCACGGTGGTAATATTCTTGTGACACACAGGGAATTGTCCCCGTCGCAACAACAGACCACAGCAATGGTATGACCAGAACCTGGCAATGTGAGGTAGGCAGTAGGGTCTGCTCCCACAGGCGACTCTAGGGGCTCTGGCGTCAGATGCCATTGCAAAGTGCAATATGGAATTGTTTTTCTGTGGAAAGGCAGCTCTAAGCAAGAGATTTTGGAAGCATGTAGAAGTTAGGTAAAATCGTAAGAATACAAAGTATTGGGCTGCCTATGGCTTATCACCCAGAGCAGCTGTAGCCCAGGGTTCACAGAAGGAATACTACAAGGGAACAAGGCAAATAAATTGATGTTATAGAGAAAAATGAGCAGACCATTTGTAATAGGTGGCTAATTTCAGCATTAATTACTCTGTAATTGCTAGATGATTGCTGATTCTGTTCTCTTACATGATATATGAAGTTCAAAAAGGCACATTAAAGGCAAGAATAAACATTCAAGAGCTAGAATTTCCTAGGAAGAAAAAGAAAGAGGCAGTAAGGAAGGTCGCCAGCTCCAGCTTGGAGAATACAGAAGGGAACTAGGGGAAGCCTGCGTCTATGGTTTCAGCCAAAGAACTCAGCCCTTAGCTACTTCCTACTATCCATCATTTGTTGGCCATACCATACATTTGCTAGCTGAAACTTAGAAGCAAGAAAAGACTCTTTCAGAAAGGTTTCAGGTTCTAGTGGACTGGGACCAAATTTGTGTAAGCTTTACAGCATGCATACATACATGCATATATATGTGTACATATATACGTGTGTGCATATATATAGATGTGTATACACACATACATATATATATATGTAAAATTTCAGCTTTTCTTGCCTTTTATAGACTTGTATCTCTGCTTATCATATTGATAAGTTGGAACCGTGACCTGGGGTTGTATGATGGTACTAATTATTGCCAGGAGCCTTGAAGGGCAGCCATGTGTTTGCCCATTTCTATCTTCAGCCTCTCCCAGCTATAATACACAAATGGCCTACTAGAGGTACCCTGGTCTATGAGGAGCCCATGGTCCTTTTCTATTTTGGTAAGAGAGAATGCCTTCTAGGCTGAGAATAAAGGCTTTGGATTCCAGTTAAGCTGGATTCAAGTTGGTCTAGGCCAAGCCCTTGCACCTCGCTTTGCCCCTTCTGTAATGAGAACCTGAGGTGGGCTGTTATGGGTCCCAAGGCAGAGAGCAACGTGAGTCCCAGGAAGACCCCAGCGAAGGTTTCTGCGTTGGTCCCAATCTGGGAAGGTGTCTCCAAACCAGAAACACACCGGCTCTCAATAGGGGTCGTTTCATTCCCATCCCAGTGACAGCAGACACAGTAAACAGGCAAGTCAGAGTCCGGTACTGCATGTTCTCAAGACGCTGGAGTGAGATGCAGAGAGAGAAAGTGAGGGCAAATGGTGCAGTCGGGGAGAGACTCCCCCAACCAATTCATTGATGACAAAATGGACCCATGTTGGAAAACTAGGGAAGAGTGTTTAGGGAGAATGAGCAGAGCATGGGAAGGCTCTAGGCAGGCTAGGGTGGAAGGATCGGGACCAGCTCAGCATAGGAGAACAGGAGAAAGGCTCAGTAAAGTTCAGCAACAGTGTGTGGGGCTTTCCATGTAGGTGGAGGCCAGTGGAGGAAGGCTTTTGGAGGTCAGAATAAGACATTCAGATTTTGTTCTGACTTTATGCGGAAACTATTACAGTAATTTCGTCAGATCAATGGACATACACTTTATACTTCCCGATGATCCTTACACCTAAATGAGGGGGTGGAGTCATGGCGGGCTGGAGTTGGATTTGCTTATGCTCCATGGAATCTTGGGACGGGGTTAAAGTGCTGAAGGAAAGAACAGTCATGTTAAATGTATTTTAGAGACTGGACCAGAAAACATGCTTGGCGAGTTAGATAGGGGACCAGGAGAGGAGCAGAGAGTGATGAGGGCATCTTCTAGGGTCTTCCTTCTGCTTTGGGTCTAACCAGACTGGGTGCTATTGCCAAGATGGGGAAGGCTAACAGAGGTTGGAGGCAAAAAGAGTTGTAAAGGAAATCTGAGAGTAGGCTTTCTGGATTTTATGCTGGGTACCCGATTTCATCCACAAGAGCTATCAGGTAAATGCCTGGCTGCAGGCGTGGAGCGCCCGGAAATGAGCTGGTTGTGACATTCGGGTTTTGACCGTGATAAATAAGGCTGAGCGAGGGTCATTTCTCAGTTCAATCCTTTACAAACATATTATTCACACCTTTCCACTCTCACTGTCCAAGCTGATGAGCTGTGTCCTTCATCCTCCCTTACACATCCATCTCCTTTCTTCTCTTGGCTCTGTTTTGAAAAACCTAAATCAGAGAGCTTCACATGCTGGCTTTGAAGATTGGACATGAAAATAGAGGCAATCCAGGACCTGAGAAAGACTATCTTCCCGGGAATAGGTCCACAGTGAAAGTGCTCATCCAAGTTACTGTCATCCAGATCCAGAACTACCAGACTGACCAACAGCGGTACCCTCCTTAGCTGGTACTATGTGCCAAGGTTCTTTACTCAGAACCCCAGGTTTAGCTACTAGCAGAGATATTAAATATTTTCTTTCTTATTACAAAGTAGATGATAGTTTCCTGGCATGGCGAAATGACTCCTCTTGGGAAAGGCATGTCCCTCATCCTCTAGTGGTCCCTTAGAAAGTATTTCTTGCCAGTCATGCCTCTCAGCTGGACCACCTAGGAGACATATGCCAATGGATCTCCCTAAGCAGGGGCCAGACCTCCAAGAGAACTCACGGGTCCTGTTCTGGGATCTCATGCTATAACAGGGCATCCCCATTCCTCCTTTGGGGCCCTGCCTCCCTGATGTAGTCTGGACCACAAGGGTGGGGCAGGTAGGAGTGATAATGCATGCTAATTAGCCATGGGCAGGGCTGTCATCAGGAACCCAGAAGCCACATGGTCCCAACCTGTTGGGAACTGGCACACTAAATTCAAACCAGCTGGCCTTTGTTTGGAAATGTTCTGGGAGGGTCCAGCCCATCCCAGACAGTGGAAGGGCTGGTGTTTCCCTACCGTGTGCTTGGTTCAGACACAAAGAATGTCTGTAACTGCTGTGCAAGTGTTGCAGCAGATCTGATTTTAGAGTTTCCTTTAAGCCGTCTCTGACTTATTTGAAGAGTAGGAATGGATCCTTACTTAGAGACAAGAGAAAGCTACATGAATCTGTCTTTTTACTGTGTCCAGCTTTAAGTTCTTCTGTAACCTCCTGCTTTAAGACAAGAGCTCACTCTTTCCCATGCTTTGCTGGGCCTATCCCTTTGGGTCATTTCTGCTCTCTGTCAAACTCTTAAATTGGGGACATTCTGAGCTACTTTTCCTCCCAGAAGGGGTCCAATTCTCTGTAATCTAGATGCTTCCCTTGCGTTCTTTGCTTTGCCAGATCCACTCAATTGCCGGCCCCCACCCCACTAGTTTCCTCCTATATCCCTCCTTTATCTTTATTCCTCCAAAGACCATGGTTTGGTGTAGCCAGACTTGATTGGCTACCCCTATTATATCTTAATGGTGGCTGTACTATTTTGTGGATCTTTTCTCCTATTCTCATGACCCAAGCCAGTGCCTTCCTTGCCCATCCTGTTCATTCTGCTAAGAAAGATTTCCACCCACACTTGAACAAATGGCTTCCTCTAGGCGAGCCAGACCTGTGCCCAGTGTTCTCTTCCCTTCCAAACTCCTATCCCGCAGCAAAGCCCACAAGACCCTAAGTTGAAGTGCCCTGAACTCCAGATCAAGCAGACAACATCATCTGTAAAACTATTGCATGCTTAGAACATTGTCTGTTGCATAAAAGCCAGGCATGTCAGTCTGACAGTCATGCTAAAGTAGGATCTGGAATCCTAGCCTCAAGCATACACAGGTTAAAACCTGGTAGAAGTAATGGGCATTAACCAGAGGCATGGAAGGAACAAGTAAAACCAAGAAACTCACAATCTGTGCTTTTGTCCTGTAATTTATGCTCAATACTGGTGGAACCTGGGTAAAACACAAGTCTTTAGCCCACTGCAGGCATGTTAGCATTACATAAAAATAATTCTCCCATATATATTATCAAGAATAAATGAAAGCCATCCAGCTCAACATCCAGGAAGCTGAAGCAGAAAAATTGCTGCAAGTTCAAAGCCAGTCAGAATGACATGGCCATTCCAAACTTGCCTCAAAAACAAAACAAAACAAAGAAAAAAAATAATTCTATCTGTCAAAGAAATAGCAAATTTTGTTTTATTACATTAATCATTACTATTATTAAAATAATAATAATAATGGGATCTTTTTAATCTTGGAATTTATAGTTTTCTCCTTGGAAATATGGTCACTATGTGGGAAGAACAGGATTGCCTAGAGTGAGTGCTCTGATTTCTTTGTCCCTAGCAAAGCCTGGGGGGAGAGCTCTCAACACTCAATAACTCTTTCCGTGTGGGTTAAGTTCATTCCTTTCGGTGACTATCCTCTGTCAGAGAAGATACAGCTCACTTCAGATGGAGGGCCGAGATCCAACACTTAATAATGATGAAGAAGGGAATTTGGGCTCTGGCCAGTGTGTCTTTCTTGAGGAATGCTCTGCTGTGTGTTCCTAAGCCCTGTCCTTCTTTCGCAGGGTTTTTCACCCAGATCTCCACCTTGGCTGATGTGCAGGAGAATGTCATGGAATACCTCCATGTGCTCAGCCGACCCAAAGTCATCGACCAGGAGCATGACGTGGTGTGGACCGAAGCATACATCGATAGCACTGTAAGCCTACAGGGCCCTGGGGAGAGGCTGGGTTTGCCCTATGCTTCAGTGCAAGGGCTTTCTTGTGTTCATTCCAGGGACAAGACGTCATATCATTCTCCATTAGTTATGATCTTTAGTACCATTGTCCCAGACTGTAGGTACAATAGACATTGTTGGCCCCAGCAAACAAAGTCATGCTGGAAAATGGCCATGAAAATGGCCTGCACCACTGAGAGTATCAAACATGCTCTCTTTTTGTTTGTGACTTCCCCATATCCCACGTGTGTTTCTGCATGAGAAAGGGGTGAGAAGCACAATGATGAACTCAGCTTTGCCACGTGTGAGGCCTCGTCTCAGTCAAAGATGCAGCTGATGCTCACTGTGATAACAAATGGGGGCCACCACCGAGGATGCAATTACATCCTCCTCCCATAGACAGGCAAAAATGTGATTACGTGGGATTCTGTGAGCGAGGTTATGTGATCTCTGATCATGGGCTCCTGAAAAGTTGGATTCCAGTGTGTGCTTACAAGGAGAGGCTTTGCCAGTCATCCAGTAATCATCCCATGGCCGTGTTTTTGTGTAATTTCAGGACGATTTTTCATAGTGATACCGAGTCTGATGGGAGTGGCGTGTTTCATTTATTGATTGTAAATGTTCTCACGGGAGTGTTCCGCTGTCAGTTTTGTTGGGATTCACATAACATTAATCACAGCAGCACAGGCACAGCTGTGTTCTGGAGCGGTCTCCATGGCTGCCTTAGGCAGACTTTCCTCTCTCTGGGCGCTCCTCCTCCTCCTCCTCCTCCTCCTCCTCCTCCTCCTCTTCTTCTTCTTCTTCTTCTTCTTCTTCTTCTTCTTCTTCTTCTTCTTCTTCTTCTTCTTGCTGTATTACTGGCAGCTGCAGGCACACATGGGGCAATAACAACACATGAAAACCAAACTGGCGACACCCTGACACATCCAGGCCACAAGAGCTCACACCACCCCACCCACAGTGGGACCTTCAAGACACAGATAGGACTGTAACTCTTGGTTCAGGAGAATGTTCATCAAGTCACCTGACGATGAGAGGTGGGGGCTGGGAAACACTTTCTGGTTGCTGGTGACAATGATCTTCTGTCAGTTTGGGAGTCAGATTCCAGTTCAGTTCTCACTATAAAAACAAAATAGCCAGACTGCTATTTAATCTGACACCATGCTTAAATCAATGACAATGACCACAATAGTCATGGTGCCATCTCTTTTTACCTGTAGTTAAGTGAGGCAGAAGAGCCAGGGACGAAGAAGAAGAATGGGTCTAGCTGGTGCTGAAGTTCAAACCACTCTGTAGTTGGTCATGCAAACTCTAGATGTCTAGGTTGATCGGTTGTTTTAACTTCTCAGTATAAAAATGTGGTAACAGAATCTAAAGTTAAAGCATATGATGCCTGAGCTTGAACAGATTAATAGAGCAGAGAGGCCAATAAAAGCCCGATGACATATGGGAACTTAGTGTATGATCTCATCTCAGCAGAGCTAGGCCATAATTTTAAAAGGCAAAGAGCATTTTAAAAGTTGAGTAACTGACAAGAGAGCTTGGCAGGTAGAGGCTCTTGCCACCAATCCTGATGACCTGAGTTTGAGCTCCAGGACCTATGAGGTAAAAAAGAGAACTAACTATCATGGGTTATCCTCCTCTGCCCTCCACGCTTGAAACCATGTGACCCCACTCTCACTCACAAACATAAACAAATAATGTAATAAAACATTGTGGAAAATTGAGGCGACCCTTCCAAAAGTTTCTATAGAAAAAGAAAGTAACAGAAGACATAGGCAGGTCACACAAATAACACAATGGATTTTGATATGGAAAAAACATAGACTTTTACCCATAGTAAGAAAAATGCTAACTAAACCATGATGAGATACCATTTCATAACAGCAGAGTGATAAAAGTGAGAAACTTAGCCAGGTCCTCTGCTAGTGAGAATGGCAGCCAGAGAGATCCTCTATAGATCACTATGGAAATGCACAGTGGGACGGTCTCTATGGGGACGGGAATGGCGTTCGTTTGCCCTTTGTCCCAGCAGTCATACTTGGAACCATGAAGGTAATTCCCCATCAAGACAAACAAATATGTAAGATCTTTGTTCACTGGAAGTGTGTGTAATTAATTTCCAAATGCTGGAAATTGTCTGACTCCCCAAGCGTTAAAGATTGTTCGTGTGAGCCATAGACTATTGGCATAAGAATGAGGGTGGTCTCTACTTCTCAGCATCGAGGGTTTATAGCAGAGCACGGCATGCTGCTAGGGAAAGTGGGAAAATGCAAGAGCGAGTCTTCTAGGTGGCACATCATGCATGCAGAAATGTGAAGTTAGGGAAACAAAAAGTCCATGGAATTGCTCACCTCTATGACATGAGAGAATAGAGGCCAGGGGGCAATGGGACATCCCTTTTTACATAGTCTTGGTTTCTGTTGAACCTTTGCATGTGTGTGTGTGTGTGTGTGTGTGTGTGCAGGTGCATGTATACAGTAACATATATGTGGAGGTGAGGGAACAATCTTCAATCACAAGTGCAGTTCTGACCTTTCACCTTGATTGAGTCAGGGTCATTTGTTCTTGCCACTGCATACTCAGGGTTGCAAGCCTGTAAGATTCCAGGGACTTTCCTGCTTCTGCCCATCTTTAGTGGAAGTGCTTGGGTTACAAATATGCATGACTGAGTCTAGCTTTCTGTGGTTTCTAGGAAATTGAATTCGGGTCTCTGGGCTTACATAACAAGCTCTGTACCCATTGAGCTGTATCCCTAGCCACGTGTGTGTGTGTGTGTGTGTGTGTGTGTGTGTGTGTGTGTTCATGTGTGGGTTAGGGGATATGTGTACCATAACACGTGTGTGGAGGTCAGAGGACAACTTGCAGGAATTGATTCTTCCTTTCTTTCCTTATACCACAAGGCTTCTGGGGATCCAACTTGGGTCATCAAACTTGGCAACTAGTACCTTTCCCCACTGAGCTTCTGACAGCTCAAATTAAAACAAACAAAAAACCTAACCAAACCAAACCAATATAACAACAGCAACAAAAACCCAACCTTTCTTCCTTCCTTTCTTTTGTTCTTTCTTTCTTTCTTTCCTTCCTTCTTTCTTTCTTTCCTTCTTTCTCTCTTTCTTTCTTTGTGTGTGTACAGTTACGAGTTTTGAAAGCATGTATGCTGTATATTCAAACATTAAATTTATAACAATAAACATGGAAGAAAAATAAAGTGCCAACAAGTAAAAAACAAAAATAATTCTATTTTAGTTAAATAACAAATTAACCGAGAAACCAGAGAAAAGAAAAAAAATAACTAACCTTTTGGATTAATCTTTGATACAGTGCTAATATACATTATTAAATTTTCAATAATTGCTTTATACCACCTTTAAATCTAAGGAGAATGCTACAAACAAATTTAAATTCTCTTAGCATCATTTGTAGTGATAAGCAGTTCTATATTGGGAGGACCATGGAAGTGAACAAAGGAAAATACTTCAAGATAAGACAGGTGCCTGTGGGGTTAGAGTGGACCAACAGCTTCAGAATACAGTTCCAACTATGTTCACTGAAGGAGGCTAGGCTCAGAATACCTACACAGCAGTGAATTTATTCAGGAAGGAGCCAGATCCCAGAAAAAGGAATCAGGATTCCTTGGAAAAGTTGCTCATTCCAGGACTGGCATTCTGAATAAAGAAAACATGAAATATCTAATATCAAAAAAATAAGGAAACACTAAATACAATAGCATGATCATATCAAAAGTCTGCAGCTTACATTACAGGTCTCTTGTTGATCAAACCTGGGACAGGTTGAACTCAGAACAACATATAACAGCGATCGACGATGGCTTGCAGAGTAAAACAGCAATCCATGTTTTCTCAAAGATAATAAGCAAACGTCAAACAGATTAACTCCATGGGGAAGCAAGAATAACCCATAGTGCCGGGCCATGTGATAAGTGGCAGGGTAATGGGCTGGAGAGTCACCATTCTGCAGTCATGGTAGCTTACGACCACCAAGCTCACATCAGTGGATTGGAAATCTGGGGGGAAAGTTGGATGAAAAGAAGGACATTTCTATTGTCTCAAAGTGCTTCTCCAGAGATTTTTTTTTTGATTTTGTTTTTTTTTTTTTTGTTTGTTTTTTTTTTTTGTTTTTCAAGACAGGGTTTCTCTTAACCATGAGGGGGAAAATACTACCTGAACAGTAGGGTGCTGTATCTGTTCTCTAGTGCACTGGGTAGTGGGACAAGTCCAATAACATCTTGAGTAGGTTCAATAACATTAGCATCACCAATGAGAAGCAGATGGAGTCTATATAGCTAAGAAGGAGGATGTGGCGCTTCTGTCGGTTGTTATGGCTAGAAACATAACCTGAAGCTCATGGAGACTACTCAAGGCCTTACCACGTAAATAACCCTTGACAGTAGAAGAGGAGTTGGCCTAAGGCTAAAATAGGAAAGCAGTTGTATCAGGATTTCCTCTTAAATTTTATGCTACATATGGAATTAACACTCTGTGCCTCAACCACCGTGGCTCATTACAGAGTAAACTCCATATGGCAAGATAACAGAGCTGACACGTCCTGTCACCCCACAAACCCTCTGCTGCACACAGATGTTGGGACCCAGTGTTTGGTCAGGCTGAAATAACAGCTCAGCAAGGTGTCATGGCTTCCCTCATGCCTGCTGTCAAATAGTTGCAAATTCACAAGATAACTAAGCTCTTGAGTAGGAAGTGTTGAGGAACCTTCTCACCTTGGAGATGTTGAGAGACCTCTTGGGCCGTTGCTTATGTGGCTGTGTGTTTACCAGCTCTGCAGGCCATGGGGTGGCTGTAGAGTCACTCCGTCAAGTGCCTTTGACTGAGAAACCGCAGTCTTTTCAAACAAGTCATTGAGACCTAGACCCTGCAGCTCAAGCAGAAACACAAACCAACACCCAAACCAAAAAAATCCCATCATTTATACATTGGGGTCAGTATAAGATTTACATTCTG